AGTTATATTCCTAAAAAGAGACAAAGTGTCTTGAGGTAAGGAATCAAACGTGTTGACCCATCAGACTTGGGGGCAAGAAAAAGATGGATAGGTGCTGATTTTTAGTTAGCTCAACCTTTTTACTGATAGCACCGCAACTAAGTAATTCATAGATGGACTAATGAGATGCAGCTATGGCAAAGTGCTAAACCAGTCGCCATCTGAATGGCAAGTGTTCGCTTGAGTCCAACTCAGGACTTTAGCGCCACTACTAAAGGTCTGCCATTGATCATGAATACGCGTTAATGTCCATGCTGATCCATACATCTCATCGGCAATAGTGGGTTGATGTTGTCAGAACGTTGTCTGGTCTAATGGCCTTCAGTTGCTGCTCAGTTTATCTGATTTCTATTTAGAAATGACTTACTTGGTCAGTCCTACACCGAAGGGCAAGATATCACTGGAAGCCTCTGTCAGAGTACTCCTTGCTTTAATGCGAATATCTGCCAGCATGCACTCCTCTCCCTTCTTTGAACCTAGAGGATAGAGTATTGCCACTTGCAGTTAATGAACAGCTCACATGTTGCTGTAAACAGTCCAAGCATGCATCCCTGCGTGCGACAATTTCTATTATGGCTTCAGTTACCTCAGCGTTCACCTTAGGTGGTTAGAATAGAACAAAATTTATTCATCTATCGTCATCAACAAGATCTGCCCTCGAAATGTCAGCCTTGGAACAACGCGCGAACATTAATTATACTAAGGTCGTCGCATCATCGTGGTGATGCGTCATCTATTGAAACAGACTACATGGCCTTTAAGAGAATACAATCCAGAGCGCCCTGATGTTCGAGTGCCACCTATGCAAAATGTAACGTTAATCGGGAATAGCGACATTTAACTTCCGTTATTACTGAACATTAGAGCTTTGGTGGTTTCCTAACCGGAGATGTTCATACGTACAGTCCTGTTCCATAGTTATCACCAGCCATGTGGAGTTTGTTATCACAAGCAAAATGTAAAGCTAATCTACCATAGATGTACCTAATTTCTATATGTTGTTAATGTTAATAGTACTCCAGCTGTCTCGTAACCTGTCATGTGCATATTATTGATCTGTTCGATGGCTATTCCAAACCATATGGAATTTGCTATCACAAGCAAAATGTAACGCTAGTCTCGCATAGATAAAACCTAATTTCTATCTGTTATTAACAAAAACTGGTACTTTAGTCATTTCCTAAACTGTCATGTGCATTCTGACAAAGATACTTCAAGGTTATCACAAACCAAATGAAATTTGCTATCACAGGCAAAATGTAACGCTAACCTCGCATATGGTCCCTATCCTTTATCTGGTGATATGAAAAAGATATACATTGGCGGTTTTCTAACCTGACATGTTCATAATTACACACCTGTTCCACGGTTATCACAAGCCTCGTGGGTTTGCTATCACACGCAAAATGTAACGCTAGTCTCGCATAGATGTAGCTAATCTCTGTCGTTCATTAATGAAAAATGGTACATCGGCTTCTTGCTAACTTCTCATGTGCATCCTTACAATATTATTCCATAGTTATCACAAACCAGATGTAATTTGCTATCCCAAGCAAAATGCACTGTTAGTCTCACATAGATGTACCCAATTTTTATCTGTTACAAATGAAAAATGTTATATTGCTGCATTGCTATCACAAACCAGATAGAGTTTGCTATCCCAAGCAAAATGTACCGCTCTAGTCTCACATAGATGTATCTAATATTTGTCTGTTATAAATGAAAAATGCTACATTGCTATTATAAACTAGATGGAATTTGCTATCTCAAAGAAAATGTAACGCTAGTCTCGCATATATGAACCTAATCTCTATTTGTTATTAATGAAAAAGGGTACTGTGGCGGTTTCCTAAACTGTCTTGTGCATTCTTATTATGTTGTTCCAGGGTTATTACAAACCAGATGGAATTTGAGGTCACAAGCAAAATGTATCGCTAACCTCGCATAACATACGTAATCTCTATTTGGTAATAAGGAAAAAATATCTCTTAACAACTTCCTAGCCTGCCATGTTCAAACTTACAGTCCTGTTCCATGGTTATTACAAACCAGATGAAATTTGCTTTCACAAGCAAATGGAAACAGATTGTTGACCATACCTTGTTGTTACGTTGTCCCAAACGCTTTTAGTGTTGTTATTTGTGCAACGAAGCTCAGTATCGAGTCATTTTTACAAACATCTCCATTCGTCCTTGGTGTAGACTATCACAAGCTAAGTCCATGTTGCTATCCCAAGGAACCGAGTCCAATGTTACAACGTTATCCCAAATGTCTTCCTTCATCCTTGGTGTGGAGCTGACTATCCCAAGCCAGGTCCACGTTGCTATCCCAAGCAACCGGGTCTAATGCTTCCACGTTATCTCAAACGTCTTCGTTCGTCCTTGGTGTGGAGCTGACTAACCCAAGCCAGGTCCACGTTGCTATCCCAAGCAACCGAGTCTAATGTTTCAGCGTTATCCCAAACGTCTTTGTTCGTCCTAGGTATGGAGTTGGCTATCACAACCTAGGTCCAGGTTGCTATCCCAAGCAACAGTGTCAGAACGTTATCCCAAATGTCATGTTGGGCACAATTTGCAGCGCCGGTGAGGCATCCATACTAATATTCATTTAACTTGCACCTAAAACAGATCGGTCAGTTGACAGTTACCTGATGGTGACGCCCCTCCAGAAAAATACGCCTACACGCCACTTTCTAATTTTGGTCCGCGACGAAAGGAACCTTTAGGCGACCGTCGGTTGGTATCTCTTTCGACAATGCACATCTATCGGCCAACCTTCTGTCCTGTTTTCTAATTCTAAATGTTCAGCGGATCCTCGACACTGAACTGCACGAAAACGACGCGCGCCGATTAACGTGTTGACGGTCGGGCACGAGAACAAGGAATGAAGGTTTATAGGCGGCCAGAGGGGAGAAAGGTAGGGGGAAGGGGCGCGGTGCTGCTTTCCTTCTCTGCGTGCCCGCTTTAAGATCGTGGCGGTTGGGTACTACTACGAGGGTACTACGATATGTATTCTTAATATTTATTTCGACGAAGACGGAAAATAATCTTTCCTTAGTTGTGATATCATTTACTTTTATTAAACTAAGGCGGAAATTGTCTATGACATTTGGTGGTAGAGCACTTAGGGACACAGTATGAAAAAATTACAGTTAACGTATCATACAGTTGCTTTCAAGCTTCTGTAACATCATTCAGGCGATCAAGAAAGCTCCAGTTATCGCACATATGATTGATTGCTATTAATTCAGGTACCAGATACCAAGTTGTTTACCTAACCTTCTAAAAGCTTTTCTCAAATCAAAATACAAGTCTACGCTGGTCTATTCCATAATGGCATAAAGTTAAGCCGAGGTTTTCTCATATCCGTGGCGGAACCTGTATGTGGCATGTTCTACTGCTCCCACGAGTGCCATATGTCAGTTCAGCCGACGGCGTCCTGTTAATAAACCTAGTATGGACCTCCTGTGCATTATAGGCTAGGAATAAAATGTATAATAATGCTAACGGGTCATTCTTAACAACAAATCATGTACAAAGCGAAAAACACGTAATGTTTTAGAATAAAATATTCTATGGATGATGATTTATTAAGACCCAATTTTCCTATTGACCGGCGGGAATCAAAATTTGCGCCTTTTGCACAAATTGGGCGAATGAGAAGGCGTCTTTGAAGTAATGGACCTGATGAATTTGGTCGATTTCTTGTACATTTTTTTTCAAACTAGAGAAAAATTATACGATTTGTGTAAGATGGGCTACTAACTCCCATAATAGATCACGAGTTTCTTCATCTATCGCATGATTCAGCTACAAAAATCAATTTTTCGTTTGTGTCTGGACACAAATTGCACCATTCAATAAGAAGGATTTGTTGCCTACTCATAAATATAGATCAACCCTGACACGATATGACATGAGAATTACTGAGCATTTTGTTTAAAATAACAATGTCTACCTGTTGCTGTATAAAATTCTGCTTGATAAATTCTTTGAAGGCATAAATAAAATTACAGAATTCAAAAGACGTGAATAATCAATTTACTTACTACAATGTTCCTCAACCCAGCCATATTGCTGTTAACAGGGAGATGTCGCGCACTCTACTGGACACGACTACGCAACCACGCCGCACCGCGGTGACGGTGGCAGGCTAGATGCAGTCATCCTACTGTCCAGTAGAGGGCGCAAAAGCTGCCTGTTGGTAGGGCCAACTTAGGGGCAGGATTTTTTGCACGGTAATCAAGTAATCTGTATATTTACTCGATGTTTCTAATTTTATTTATGCCCTTAAAGAATTTATGAAGCAGAATTTATACAGCAACAGCGAGACACTGTTCATTTCAATGAAGTGCTCATTCAGTTGCTGTCATGTCAATATATGTATCAGATTTGTGTAATCATTTAGGGTATGGCGCAAATACTTCTTTTTTATTGCTTCATTTTATGATCATGACCGCTAATTTAGCGTCCTCAAATGAAAAGAAACAGGCTTTCGTGATTTATGTCGTATTTCTTGCTTTAATATAGGAATTCGGGGGGCCCATCTTACACAAACCGTATAATTGTTATCTTATTGAAGTTTGAGAGACATTTTTCAAGAAATAGACCATATTCATTAGATCCATTACTTCAAAGACGCCTTCTCATCAGTTGAATTTGTGATGGCTTAGTCGAATTGGGCCTACAAACCATAAGCAAGTCAGTTTTCTTCCTGACATGAATTAATTGAAATTAAAACCATTAATTAAAACTCCGCTGGGAACAAACAACAAACGTTGAAGTAGAACAGGAAATATCGGAGGCTGTGTCAATATAGAAAGGAGTGAAATAGCAGTGCTCATTGTCACCACTCCTGTTTAAGATCTATTTACAGGCAATATTCAGAGGAGCGTTGCAGGAGGCACCAGAAGGAAAAAAGGTATATGGAAAGAATAGAAGTTATAGTGAATAACGTCCGCTATGCTGTTGATTGTGTTGGGTTAGCAGATAAAGCTGATTTGAAGGAATTAATGAACCACACTGTAAACTAAAACAAGCTGTATTTCCTTCTTATGAAATCAAAACGACGAAGTTACTTGTCTTCAGATAAACAATTGTTAACGCTAATATACTTATCGACAATAAGGAAACATAGCAACTAGATCCAGTTAAATATTTTGGCCAGAGCGGCATAAAAATAGAAGTTTAATCAGGTATTGAGCCATCAATGAACACGTTTTTCAGTATGAAGCAAAGGAACCGGGGAAATATCACTAGTTTTTTTTTTCAAAATTTAGTACGGTGTAGGTATCAACTTGATATCAACACGTAGAATGAATCGATCCAAACTTTTTCCAGGAATATTTGCAGATATACAAGGCCTCCAAATTGGGCAGTCCGTACCCAATAACAGCGTATTCTGTCTGATATTGATTAAAGCTCTTATCATCAACCTCACTGGCCAGTTTCACAACATTGCAATTCTGTCACATATACAGCGTGACTCAAATTTGCGTGATTGGAGTATTACTCCGTGACTTTTCCAAAAACATTATTACTGTGCACCGTCTTTCTAATAAAAACCACGGTATGTTGACTCTGCGCTTCCCACGCCGCGCGGTCATCAGTCCACAAAGGATCATGTTTAATACAAAATAGACGCTCTGAGAAAAAGTTCAGTTCAGAATACTGGATATCCGATAGCCTTCATCAGTTGCTATCTAATATACCCACTCCCTGAACTGTTAACTGAAGTTAAATCCCACTTTTATAACTTCTTTTTAGATACCTAATTTATCTGAGGAAATTAGAAGAATACGTCTAAAAATGCATTTTATTAAGGGTACGGGATACGGGTTGAAAAAACTTCTTGTTTTTAGATAAACTCACACTCACACCATTCGGATTTTGGAAACAGTAAGAGATACTAAGTCGCTTAAATTGAGGCAAAGTTTCGCATTTAGGTAATTTACAAGATGACACTGAAAAAGTTTAAAAATTATTTTCGTGTAGAGACGGAATAAAAGATTTTTTCTGAAATCGTTATAATTTTTTCCTAACTTTATTGTAATGGCAAAGATGATATAATTAGAATTTGGATATGACACTTCGTCTCTTGTCCTCCAGCTTCAACTTTATTTTTCATAATGGATGTCATATTGTATCTTTGCACAGATAGATTTTTTAACTTTTATTATAAAAATATATGATATGTCATACATGGGCATCTTCAAACCTAGTTATTTGAAAATAACTGAATTTTCTAGGTAGGTCTGATTTTGTGGTTTTATTTAAAAGGTGATCATAAAATAAGTTGCATATTATCATTGTCATTTTTTTCCTCTACAAGAGTGTAGTCATATACTCAATTGGACGTTTCTGCTTTCGATCTCCATCATCAACTTTGTTTTTTCCTATGGACTCCATAATAAGATTTTACACAATCAAACACAATTTTTCATCCTGCGTTTAACTGTGAACATACATATATTTGTTTATGTCACGATAAACTTCACATATTTAATTAAAGTAAGTAATATAATCTTTATGTTAGTAATATTTTAAATTCCAACATAGCGTCCATATGAAAAAACACAGTTGGTGATGAAAGTTGAAAGGACAAATCTCGAATAAATATGAAACGTAAATGATTTTGAGATAAATAATGTAGTACACGAAACGAAAACTCTGTGCAAAAATGCAATATGACGTCAGTAAAGAAAATTAAAGGTGATGCTGGAGAACAATAGACGAAACGTTATCTTGAAATTCTGATGATGCTATCTTGTAGAGGAAGATCAGTGGCAATAGTAATGTGCAATTTATTTTAAAATCTCACTAGAAATTTAGTCAGGAGAAGATTAAGACGGTTTTGGACAAATTCGGAAGTAATTTGCATATCGAAACCTCCTGAGCAGCATTTTTTTAGTTATCTAAATACGCAACTTTGTCCTAATTTTTCGGTTCTTTCACCGTTTCCGAGATCCCAATGGTGAGGATCGAATTTGAAACATCCGGTATAATGTAACATCTGAAACTTATCCTGCCAAATCAAACCACATATGTTTTAATTTCGTTTCAAAATTGGCATGATGGTTTCGCGCAATCTCAGCATATTACAAGCCCTTTAAGACTATTGTAGTAGATACTTTGGTTGAACCTCTATCGAAATATTTAAGTCCGCAATACCAAGGACAACGATAGCGAATTGGACTAATAAAAAGAATAACATTTATTAACTTAGTGTTTATTCCTAAATAATAGCAAAAAGCCAACCATGATCGCACCATTGTAGAGGATAGATAAATCTAATACGGTTTGTATTAAACTATACTAAGTGACATATAAATCCGAACACCCAGTTTAAATGGTTTTATTTTAATAAAAGTTGGTGAATGTATTTATCTTACTGTAAATAACAAGTGAAAAAATTTTCAGCCTTGTCAGTTGGACATTCCGGTTTTTATACTGCTTTTTTTTTAATTCACTAACGCTCTAAAAATGAATATTTAAAGAATCAACGTTGGCGTATTTTGGTTCTTGACATCCTTCATGATGGGTTACGATGCCTAGAGTACGGAGACCTGTACGGGAAGCTGGACTTTCTCTTCGGGCAATTGCAGTTAGAGTGCAAAGAAGTGTAGACACTGTGGTTAGGTGTTGTCAGGCATGGCTTCGAGAAGGTCGTACGCAAAGAGCAAGGGGCACTGGACGCCGCCGTAGAACAACAGACCGTGACGATCGCCGCCTAAGATTATTGGCCTTAAGGGACCGTTTCTCCACTACCAGGTCCATTGCAAATGAATGGTTCACGGAAGACCTATTGCCATGCGAAGTGTTTACCGACGAATGAGAAGTTTTGGCTTGTTTTCATACCGGCTACACTGGGTCCTCCCTTTAACTCGAGAACACCGACGTAATCGCCTTGAGTGGTGCAGACAACGGTCACTCTGGGATCAGGAATGGAACAGTATTGTCTTTAGTGATGAGTCTCGATTTTGTTTAGGCATGCACGATGGTCGTGCCAGGGTTAGAAGGCGACGTGGTGAAAGGAGGAGTCCACAGTTTTTTGTTGAAAGACATGTTCATCACACTGTTGGAGTTAGGGTTGGGAGTGCTATAGCTTATGGTTCCAGGTCACCTTTAATCTTCATCAGAGGTAACATGAACGCGCAGCGTTATATCCACGAAGTTCTAGAACCCCATCTTTTACCCTATCTTGACACCATGGCAGATCCAACTTTCCAACAAGATAATGCCCGACCACATGTTGCAAGAGTCAGAATAGACTTCTTTCAACATAATGATGTGACATTGTTACCATGGCCACCAAGATCTCCCGACTTATCCCCAATTTAGCACGTGTGGGATATGATGGGTAGGAGATTGCTCAATTTGCAACGTCCTCCTCAGACTCTAGAAGCACTTCGAGAGGAGTTGGTGGTTGCCTGGAATGAGATACCACATGAGGACATTGACCACCTGATCAGAAGCATGCTTAGGCCCGTTGGAGAATGCGTAGCACATCAGGGTGCATCCACACATTATTAAAGGTCAAAGGGCTTTAAAGCAGTGCAATCATTTTGAAATTTTTATCATTTACTTATTATGCTTCATTAAGTACTTATACAAAATTTTATTAAAATAAAACCATTTAAACTGGGTGTTCGGATTTATATGTTACTTAGTATATAATTGTTTTTGAAAATCTCCCACCTCCTAGAATACCCATCCCTCAAATTTCAACGCCTACAAAAATGTTTCCGTAAATGGTCAAGACCCTCTAAAATGCCAAAAAATGAAGTTTGCACGGTTTTAATTTTTTTCCTGATTTTCCTCTTAGCTCCGCCACCACTAGACCGATTTGAAAAAAAGGACAAGGCTTTTTGGCATAGTAGTTCCCATGTGTGAAAATTCCATCAAAATGCGAGCGGTACCTCTCAAGGTATAGGCGGTTAGAAAATTAGCGGACAAACCGATAGACAGACTTACGGAATGAGTGAAGTGTTTTTTCGTGATGCACATGTCATATAACATTCAAAAAACATAATATCTCAATTTCAAAAATGTTCACGATTACAATACTTCCTCGCCAGTTTTGACATAGGAAGTAAAAAAAATGCTTAATTTTGAATGTTCTAACAAAAGCCTGGTACATAAAGGTGATATGCAGAGGTGGTGCAGAATTAATAACCGAATGCAAAAAATGAAATGCTGAAAAAATTTCGGAAACTAGTAATAAAAGAAAATTCTGCAATGAAGCCATGACGTAGCCTATTTGCAGCTGCAGGATTATTCTTCAACTACTGCTACCCGCCCCACACGGAATCCTGGGTACGACCTTGCTCACGGGTACGTTCCTCTAGACTCTGGTCTAGAGGCTACCCAATGTGTACCTCAACGTAACAGAAAATGGTAATTTTGAAGCCTCCATAGAATTGTCTTGTTTCTATCTCATAGTTGCCATTTTTGTATACTTCGGCTTCTTCAGTTACAATGAGCTCTTAAAACTTGTGATTTTAACAGGCGAACTCGCTACAGAGGAAGCACCTGTTGCAGATGAAGTAGCTCCAAGTGAAGCAGCCACCGAAGATGAAGATGATGAAGATGCAAGGAAGCAAAGGGAAATGGATGCACTGATCCAACAGAAGTTCGAATTGGCAGAACTGGAGAGGTATGTCATCCGTTACCAATCCATAGCAGCTTTAGGGATCACAGCTAAACGAAAGATGTAAACCAGATTCTAAAATTGTGGATGACTAAAAACTGCTGAGAAAATATTACAATATTCAATAGCTTTCAAAACTAACTCCAAGTCAACAAACTGACCAAAAACTGGACAACTCCTTGCACTGTAGAGAAAAATTGTAGTTTAATATTTATCGCTATTCTCAAGAGGCTCGTATAAAATCTGAATAATGACAAGCCATCTTTGAACGTAAACAGGACGCAAACGATACGTATGTGAATAATAGTAAATTATAGTAATAAGCAACAGGCAATGTGGAAACGCGACTACAATTTTGAATACAAGCCAGTTCAATACGTATTTCTCAAACATTGCTCAACATCTTTTGGAAAACCTACCCTCTCAAAATATATTTCCTTTAATATCTAGGCACTCCCAATAATCTTAATTTTGTTTTTCGCAAAGTTATCATCAACGAAGTTGAGCTGCGATTTGCTCATTGAAAAAAATTAAAACATCTACGGGGGCGGTGCGATAAGTACTTTGCCTCACCATCTGATGGCGCCACTATCACAAGAGAAATTTACTGTGGTAAACGGCTACTATAAAAATTTCAGCCGAATCAGACTCGTAGTTTTGTTTTACCACGTGTGGAAGAGCAAAATCGGTCGGTGATTCGATTCTTATTTTTAGAAGGGAAGTTGCAAACGTATTTTTTAGTCGTGTTCAAGAAGTTGGAGCATCGCTGAGTCAGGTGTATCGAGCTAAAAGTAGACTATGTTGAGAAACAAATGGCCACTTTTCCAAAATGTTATTTTTGTACGGATCGCCCTCGTATAACTTCAACAGTAAGGTTTGTTCCAGGAGGCCACCATAACTTATTCAAACATGCTCATGATGGAGCTGTAGATTTAGTAATTTATAGTGGATACCTCTAATGTGAACATACCATAGTCGACAAGGTAGTTCATTAACATTCACTAACGGAAGTTATCCTATGTACTTCTGAAACTCCATGGAAGAGAGCTTCCTCTACTCTAAGCTATTTCGCTTAGGATAGTTGTTAGAATCATCTTTGTGATCACCCAATTTAAATAATTTCTTGTCCAAGAGCTTCAAGTCCATCATTTGTTCAACTTTAGTGTTGGACCACCAAATTGAATTTAATTTAATATAGCAATGATGAGCGAATTGTATACATCATGTACCTACTAGTGTTGAATATGCGTATACAGTTGTTATTGTAGAAAACGTAAACAATGTGGACGATGTATACAATAACAAATAACATTTCATTTAGGTTGCTTGTAGTTCTCGTTTGGATTTCGTAGCAAACGGACGTGCTGATAAGCGAATCGACGAGTACGAGTACAAATAATGTAATCATAATAATAAAAAAAAGTGTTCCATAACAAAAGCTGTAAAAACGTGAAACAAAACAAGTGTCGTTAGTTAGCAGTGCAAGAGCTGGTGGCACCGGTTTTGCGGCTGGTCTAAAACATTTCCTCAACAATGACTCATAGCAAGGATGTGTCAGTAATAGAGCATAATCAAATACTAAGAATGTAATCAACAAGTGAAGAAGAATTAGAGGACTCACAACAAAATAGAAATAACCCGTGGCAAGTGATGAGAGTGATGAGAGGCGTTAAAAGGAGGAAAGTTGCCAAAGAGCAGAACAAAGAAACAACGGAAACTGTAACTGTAAACAACAGATTTGATATCCTAGCAGACAAAACAGGTGATAATGTTGCAAATAACACGAATTCCAAAGCCACCCCCAATCTTTGTTCATGGAGTGACCAACTACGAGGAAATGGTCAACACCATTAGAGACATATTAGAAGACGAGCAATATAACACGAAGAGCCTCGCAAACAACGTTGTGAAAATAAACTGCACAACCCCAGAATTATACCGTAAGCTCATCAGAAACTTCAAAGAAAATAGTATCTTTCACCATACCTACCGAAAGAAGAGCGATCATACAGGGTAGTGATAAGGTATCTACATCACTCTACAAAAATCGATGATATAAAAGAGGAGCTGGGAAAACTGGGTCACAAAGTTCGCAGCATAATAAATGTCCTTCATAGGACTACCAAAGAACCACTAAACTTATTCTTTGTAGATCTTGAGCCAGCCGAAAATAATAAAGATATATATATATATATATATAACATCAGAGGATTACAGAATAAAACTATTCAAATAGAGCCACCCAGACCTAGAAAGAACAATATCATCCAGTGTATGAGGTGCCAACAATTTGGACATACTAAAACATACTGCAACAAACCATACTTATGTGTGAAATGTGGTGGTCCCCATAATACTAAGGACTGCAAGAAGCCGAAAGATGCGCCAGTAAAATGTGCCCTTTGTGGTGGCAGTCATACTGCAAACTATAGAGGCTGCGAACACTACCACAGAACATTGAAAAATAAAAATCCCACCTTCCAAACACCCCTACCACCTATAACTAGTGAACCAGCTTATGTTAACAATGTTGAGCCCGCCACTAACCGACAATACTCAAGAACGTATGCAGATGCAGTAGCCAACAACACTGAAAACTCGATAAGTCTAACTTCTACAATGAATAAATTCCTAGATGAATTTAAAAATATGTTCAACCAGCTCGTACAACAAAACAGTCTGATCCTCAATATGATTGCCACGCTAATCAACAAAATAAATTAAAATGGCCAATTTTCCAAGAATTGCCCAGTGGAATGCCAATGGTCTTCCTAGTCATAAAGAAGAAGTTAAATTGTTTTTACAGCAAAACTATATAGACGTCCTACTAATCAGTGAAACACATTTCACTGAAAGAAGCTATTTTTCTATACCCGATTATACACGTACTTTACAATACAAATCATCCCGATGGTACAGCACATGGAGGAGCTGCAGTACTTATTAGAAAAACAATCAAACACCACGAAATGCCTAAGTATGAAGAAAACCATATCCAGGCAGCATCTGTAAAAGTAAACAGTCTTCCTTACGATATAACAGTATCAGCTGTCTACTGTCCACCACGTCATAACCTCAAAAAAGAGCAATTCAAAAATTTCTTTATAACTCTTGGTCCAAAATTCAATGTTGGGGGGGACTACAATAGCAAGCATACCACATGGGGCTCACGGCTCACAACAACGAAAGGAAGAGAACTGATACAAGTTGTATTAGAAAACAACTACACGTTTATTTCACCAGAAGCACCTACTTATTGGCCTACATATGTAAACAGACTTCCCGATCTTTTAGACTTCTCCATAACCAGTGGCATATCTTCATCTTATACAGAAATATCCTCAAGCTTTGACCTCACATCAGACCACAGTCCAATTACCCTAACTCTGAGCATAGCAGTGATATGTAAGAAACCCGCTCCAAGATTGCATAATAACAAAACAAATTGGGATAGATACAATCAGATAATTGTAGATAACATCATTCTCTCAACCAGATTGAAGCAGCCAAATGATATAGAGGTCGACTGCAATAGCTTTATTTGTACACTCCAACAGGCAGCGCAAGAATCCACACCATTCATAGACTGTGCTTACAAAACAAAAAATATCCCCGTTGAAATAAAGAACCTAGTTGTAGAGAAGAGAAGAGCACGATCAATTTGGCAACGTATCCGCACGCCAGCCAGCCGAACAAAGTACAACACCTGCTGTAATAAGCTAAAGTCTAAACTCCAAGGAATGAATAGAAGGCTACGTATCTCAACTCACGAGACAAGATAACTCCATATGGAAGCCCATAAAAGCTAAGAGAAAACCTCATTCTTCATCACCCCCAATCCGTAGCCAAACAGTAGCTAATGGTCAATGGGCAAAAAGCGATAAAGAAAACGCTAACGCATTTGCACAATACCTTGCCGAAGTGCTCATCCCACACAATGACGATCCAGTGCAGGAAGTACTCAGGCAGCAGCGGTGGCCGCAGTAGTAGACTCTTCGGTCTTCTGATCAGTCGCCGTGCGCTGTGCGGGTTCGAGTCCTGTCCCAGGAGAAACTTTTTTCTTGGCTATGGATGTTGTGATTGTCCGTAGGTGGTAGACGGTCTCTGACTGTCGAACACGGAGGTACCACCCGGCGGATCTCGTAGGCGGAGCCAGAATGTGTGCATGTTGCATGCACACGTGTTCCCTCGCCAGAGTCCGTGTGGCGTTCCCCCTTTCTCATGTATCCTCCTATAGCCCCACGGTACCCAATGGGTGCTTAGGCCTTAGGCCTTCGTGGTAGTTGAAGTATAAAAAAAAAGAAGCCAATCTCATCCATCTTTTAACTCAAGAACGGTTAGCACCTTTCTCTCCGAAGGAATTTCAAAATGAAATAAACAGGCTAAATATAAAAAAAAACTCCCGGAGCTGACATGATCACAGGCAAAATGTTACAAGAACTTCCCAAGAAAGGCTTGATGAAATTGTTTTATATATTTAATGCGATTATAAAGCTAGACTACTGGCCCATGTCCTTCAAGAGTGCGCTAATAATTATGGTACCGAAACCAGGAAAACATCTTATCGCCCGAGCAGCCTGTTGCCAGTAATTTCTAAGCTTTTGGAAAGACTTATCCTGAATAGAATAAATGGCCAACTGGATCGGCTAGCTTGGATCCCTAATCATCAGTTTGGCTTTAGGCCGGCTCACTCAACTGTGCAGCAGTGTCACCGCCTTTCGGATATAATCGCCAAATCCTTCGAAAGAAAAGAATACTGTACGGCAGCCTTCCTAGATGTGAAGCAGGCATTTGATAAAGTGTGGCATCCAGGCTTGTTGCATAAAATAAAGAAAGTATTGCCAGCCAAGTACCTCAAGTTGCTACAATCCTACTTAAGTGACCGCTGCTACAAAGTTAAAGTAAACAGTGAGACTTCAAGCTACTACCCTATGAAATCAGAAGTCCCACAGAGCAGCATACTGGGTCCCTTACTATATGTCGTATATATGTTACAACAACTGAAA